CGCATACGGTAGCTGCACCATGTAAGTAATTCTGGGTACAACAGTGTGTTTAGGTATGGTGGTGGTCGTCATTCAATAAATGAAGTCATCTGGAAACACCGGCTTCCTTGGTTTGGACATGTGTTACACATGCGTCCCAATGGCTTCCACACCGTTCATTGTTTACTAGTCCTGGGACTGGATGCAAGAAGCGGAGGGGTGGTCAGTGTGTGACGTGGTGCAGTAGAATGAAGGATAGTTGTATCTGGTTAGCATCGGCTGGTGAATAACGACACACTACTTGTTCACTTGTGCAGACAATCGCATATTTCTGGCCAGCTAGCACGTCAAGTATAAACACAGACATTTTCTAGTGCGCCATCTACTGACCTCAATTTAACAGTAAACACACACACACACCCAGTATCCCTGTCATTCATTGTTGGAGAGTGTCAGTCCAAGGCCGTCACTCCTTCCAAGACACGCACTTGAACCAATCACCATCCACAGGTCTACGCTCAATTGAATGTACAAAGGCTACACCTAGAAGACCCACCAAGTGCAGCTTAAGGGTTCGGATTTCAAGGTTCCTTTGGAAGGGAAACTGACTGGACAGTTATCAAGACATGATTTCCCTGATCATCCTGAACAGACTTGGTACCATCCCCAGTCTGATGAAAAAACAACATTTAAAAAGGTAAGTGACTCTCAGAAAGGGGTTAAGAAAAGTGCTGATGGATTTTAGCCTCTTCTTCTGAATTAATGGATGCACGTGAAAGCATCGCTCCAGGCTCGCAGTACAGTCAGGAACGAAGGCAGATCAAATGTAGGTTGACCGGGAGTCTATGCAGTGACTGTGAGCAGTGCACCAGTCAACATGGACATCCATAGAGATGGAGAAGGCGGCAGCGACAAGCAATACTAGAAAGCTGTTTACACTTGACGAGAAGACTGAAGTAAAGTCAATGGTTAGTGAGACTATAGAGAAGAAACATGGGTCAACGATTCACTTGCTGAGACGACAACTGGAACTATTGGAAGTACACTGCAACGAACACCCCAACTAGCCTCGTATCATTCTACAGTCCCCTGCTATTCACAAGGAATATCTAGATAGAACCTTTAACTCTCACTTAAGTTGGGAAGGCTATATACAAATATTTCAACGAGGAAATGTAGTACACGTTGAAACCCTGGCACCACAGATATTTAAGGACGGTGGTTGAAGAATATTGCTCAAATTACATGAATTGTTGTTAGCTAGCCTTTACCAATCACATATGATCCATTCGGACTGGTCTTCATCGTTCCCTATCGTAGTCTTCAACGAAGGAGAGAAACCCCACTGTGATCCCCACAAGGGAATCACTCAAATGACCATAGTGTCTATAACTCTTACACATATATGAAAAACTCTACATCAGCAAACTCGAGGAAATCAGGCAGGCTTCACACTCAGCTGTAGGTGCACTGACCAGATATTCACCCTCCAACAATTTCTGGAATATAGATCCACATACAAATGTCCGACAAATAGCTGTATATTTTCCAACCTGCAGGTGGCGTCTGACTCAGTTGATTGGGAGGTCTTACGTGAATGTTTCCCATTGAAACGGGTGTTCAGAGAATACACAGTTCGGTTAAACATCCGTGAGCTTATCACAGCCTACTGTGAGTTTTGTATGTTCAGTAGCATCAGTTGAAGATGTTTTGTTTCTTCATCTCCACTTAGTTTCGTCAGAGACGAAATGTTAGATGCGTCCATGAAATACCTGATTGTTGGTCCGAGTTGTGTGAAGAAATGCAGTTTGTGGTTGAGGACCGCAACACAACGAGACCAATCGTTTGCAGACTCCGGGTGATATAGTTCTGAGTCAATGTCAGTCAAGTAGATGTATTCAATCGACGCACATACTATCTTCTTAATCATTATTCAGATTTTCGTCATTGTTTCATACCTACTTCCTCTCCTAACACAAGTTTCTACTGCATTCGATTACTCCCTTTTTTCTTTTGCCATCTTTCATCTTGCTGCATTCTCGTTTGATGTGCTGATATCACATGTGGTAACTTGGATCGTTACGCAGTAATGCCAGATCTCATGTTACAACTAACTCACTGAACCATGATCACTAGCCAGACTTCTGCAACTTCATGGCGAATACGACGTACAGCCAGTTAGTCAGTCAATATAAACATGAGAAGTGCCACTTTTGAGTAGCACCTCAATTCGCCATGCTTCCATACAAAGATACACAGAAATATAATGAGAGACAAGAGAATAGGGATACTATAATCAAAAGTCATAAAAGGTGATAGGCAAAACGAGAGGATAAAGTAAGTAATAAAGTGCAGTCTAACGGTCGAGGTGAAGATGGGGTGAAAATGCATCTGCGAAAATACTACCGATTGAGTTATCTTATCTACAGTTTCCAACTTTCAGCCTCAGTCACTACACAGATCCAGGCCAACAAGTCTACACCTTTCTAAACAACTCAGAGAAACAATCAAAATCTTCACAGACTGGTGTCATATTTGTTCAGCCGTTGTCCACTGACCTAGACAGTTGACTTTTAACAAGTGAGTCATGAGCTCGAAAGCCGGCACCACTGACCGAAGTTTATGCAACCAGGTATTGTGGCTCACTAATAACATGCACATAGTTGCTGAGAGTTTCATTTTCTAATTTATGCTATTAAAACTCTTCTCCAACCTAGCCTCATTCTAGGCTAACACTGTTTAATGGGGTAGACAGTAAATATCTATGTATACACATGTTCCAGTCACCTCAGTTAGCGAACATGCGTAGCCTCATTAACTGGTCTAATTCTCACTCTCTATCTCTCAAATATTCTACACCTAACGGGCACATTGCTCACGTGATGGCTTCACAGCGAGAAGTTAACATTTTGCAGTCGTACAAAGGGATAGGGATAACTTCTGCAAATCGCAGTACATCCTTATTACACAATTGCATCTTACCCATAGTATAACTGGTGGTATTCGGAAAAAGTCAATTCATAGCTTTTTATCTGGACCGTGATTTCACTGGTCACCGAAGTCAGTGCTTGAGGGGGATTTCCAGGAGGTGGTCAGCATGACTGATTGCTTCAGTACTTAACTGGTATACAACCTTCGAAAGACTGTATTTTAAAACACTATATGAAGCTCAGGGGGCTGGGATTCTCCCACAATACATTGACTGACGTTTAACCTGGATATTTTAGAATCATTCAAAATTTATTACTCTGAATCACAAACATTTGACCGTAGGTTAGCCCATTAAACTGTTCACAGTCTTCCAACTGTAGCTGCCACATTTTCGCTATGGAACTTGACCCTCAATATGACGGACCCAAAGGAATAGTGATTCGAAAGCTTGCCCTTTGGAACCACATTGCATTTAGAAAGCCAGTTAAAATGTGAGATCAGAACAACTTCGTTTTTCTTTCCATGAGAAAACTTCTACAGCTCACTGTATCGAGGTGTAACAACAGTAAATCATAACAGAAATCATCGCACTACCTCCTTGTTTTTAAAGCCTGAAATGTAAAAACGTAACGAGAAAGCATACTTCTTACATCCATTTGGGTTCTATCCACAGTCTGTGTCGAAGACCATAGAACATCTATTTTACGGTTGTTTCAAACCTGAAGTAGTGTAATGTAGCAACACCAGATGGTTTGTTACTATGAGTCTTTACAGATGGTGCTAGAAAAACACTTAGTAACCGGAATGCCAGCTAGTATACAGAGATCAGAGGTAGTCCCGTCAAACTGGTCTACATCGGTAATTGCTCTAGTTTGTGATAAAAGGGAGGAGTTTTCGTGTGACAACCGCGGAGAATCTATTTGAATACTATCGTGTCCAGCATCCCAGAGTCAGACACTCGACATACGCCTTTGTCTACCTAGATACAACTCTCTTACTATCCACTTGTCCCTTGTCTGCAGCTGTGAAGTGTAGCGACTGAAACCGACGCACTTCTGCGCAAGTTTATAGGTTTGCTTTACTGACTGTCATTTTTCGGCCATTTATTAGAGGGAACTTGTGCACTTCCATGAAGTAGGCGGTGAGTCACACTCATTGTGTAAGGGCTAATGATACTACCTGGTCGCTCAAACCTCGGTAGGTGGGGCGGTGTTCGAGCATGTGACCCACTGGTTGAAGTTCGACTCCCTAGACCAATAAGCCACAACTCCAGAAACCACTAGATATAGACTTATAGTACGGAGTTTGCCAATTAGGATTACTAGGTCAAAAGTCAGTAGTTAAAGCGGAGCTCACGCCTGCAATACGATGGCTGGAAACTTTTAATTCAATGAGCATTCCAAACAATTAGTTCCGTTTATAAACATTGGAGAAACAATAAAAAGACATAAATTGTGTGAACCGTGTAATGTATTTAAACAGCACATTCAAACGTTCAGGTCACATACGTACTTGTCATAGGTGTTTATATGAAAGTTTATAAAGAGATAAGGGGTGAGAATATGAAAAGTGGTCGGCTGAGAAGGCTGAGTTAAAGGTCAAATAACAATGAAAATCAACAGAACGAAAACAATAGTACATCTAACTTGGTTTCATAGTTGAATTCACCAAAGGGGATTTTATCTGATAATAAATTCTTTTTAAACGAACAAAGTTGGTTTAAAATTCCTAATAGCTAAGGCCGCGTTAAATTTAAGCATCCATCCCCAACACATTTTGTAAGTAAGTAGCAACACCATTCCTGTGACCTGTCTCAACGATATTTTTCGTGATCGAAGAACTTGGATGCCTGCTACCAACGTTTATGGGTTTAGGTGATCAGATTGTCGCGTTTGACTGATACACTACACGGTTCAAACAGTTTACGTCTTCTTATTGTTTTGCCGGAGTCAATAAACTATGTTTCCAACATCTTTTTGTTAAGAAAGTCAACAGATACTACGATATCGATAAAGAAGACATAGCCCATTTAAGTTTTCACCTTCAGCCTCTTTGCCCAAAAGCATACTTTTAAAAAGAATATCATTTACCTGTCCGTTGGGTCGAATCGTCGGATCACGCGCACCGAATGGGACCCATCCGCGGTTCACAAGTATAGAAGTCCTAAGATGGAATAAAGGTTATTGAACAAAACAACTAGGGAAGCGATATCCCAAAATTCGATAGTTACCCAGGTTTATTCTCTAGAAAGAATGGTGTTACAACAAAGTAACCAGGAGAAGACGGAATTGATATAGGTGACCGTATTAAGTTATGCCGTGATTTTGATGCCCACTCGCTCCCGTAACCTGTAGGAGGTATCATATCTTCAATTAACGAACGTGGTCCAATAATCACTTCGCGAGAGTGATCGAAATGGCCTCGAACTGAAACATGAGTAAATTCAGGAAGTTCGAGGCTAGAAACAACACTAAAATGTGGTGTAATTATTGCCACTTTTAGCAAAGACAAACTTCTGTGGTAAGGTTATAGGCTTAGCAGGAATTCGTGCACTTAGTGTTTCAATTAATTCAATTTTCCACTTTCTTCTACGAATTTGCCAAAATCCCAAAGCGAATGCGGTAGCAGGAAAGACCTGGAAAAGTGGTAAATTGCAAAATGTAAGACAAAACAACACTTTTATAACCTGCATACATTATTAAACCACAACAAATGTTATCAGTTATTGGAAATACTTGCCTAGTAAAAATGCTAAGAACTTGAGTACAAACCTCTCAGCTTCACTATGTTATACATTTAGGAAAAGTCGATAAGCACTACCTTTTAGTTCAGAACAAGTAAATGAAGTGAAATTATATAAGTGACGCAGTGATTAGTCCTTGACAGACAGATAAAATCAACATAGAACCTCGCACAGAAGTACATCGGTTCAAGTTACCAAACTTTACAGCAGTAAACTAAAAAAGTTAAAGAGTGAATACATCTGCACCACGGCGACCGATTTTTAGCCATACCACCAAAAGCCCTCAACCATCGATTCCTATCGTCTCGGTGACCACAGGTAGTTTAAACCTCTCTACATGGCTCAGACCAATAGTTAGAGAACTCATCGACTAGTGTTACATCTTGTTCTGGTTATCCTGAGCCTTCTTCCAACTTCCCATAGCACTGCACGTTGAGGTTGGCGGTGGATCGCCTTGCGCAACACATGTCCATACCACTTCAGATGATGAAGACTTACAACCTTAACGATCGACAGCCCTGGTAACCGTCGACTAACTTCAACATTGCTCACATGATGATCCAACAAACGTAACCAATGCTACGAAGACATCTGTGATCAAAACTCTGTTATCGCTTCATATTTTCCACTCTTAACAGCCATGTCTTGGAACCGTACAACAGGACAGCATGGACTGCAGAACATTATACTCCTCCTTTAATAGACAGGCGGATATCTCACCGGCGCCATAAATGAAGCATGTTAACGAAAGCCACGCGGGTTTTCTGTATTTGAGCTGAGATTTAGTAAGCAAACAGCCCGAAAGAACTGATGCAGCTCCCTAAGTAAGGGAAGTAGTCGACACATTCCAATACTTTACTCCCTACCGTAAATCTAGAATTAGTTGCAGACTAGTCCAGGGAATGTATGACATACATACTCAGATTTCAGTTTATATTGTTACCATCTTCACCCACCAGGAAAATGTCGCCCGAGTACTTAAAGTCAACCAGATACTATGCAGGAAGTGCATCGATCACTGTGAACTCAAACATCGTCAGTTCAGATGACAAATCTCTATAGGCCCTTACACGGCTGCGCCAGCTAGAGTAGAGAGCTTTGATCAGCGTTATATAGTTGTTCGGTGCTCCCTTCATAGGCAGACACTGTCACAACACCTAATGGTCGATAGAGTCCAAGGCAAGTGTAGGCCTCCGATCAGCATATCCGTGTCCCAGAACCTGTCGAAGGGTGAAGACCTGACCGACAAACCATTCACTAGGTTTGAAATTTGACTGCTTTTCTTAAGTCCGTTCCTCTCGAACTCCAGTTAGGCGTCGTATAACTATGTGCCCTAGGATCTTGGACACAATATTAGTCAAGCTAATTCCCTTATGGTTGTCACAAAAAACCTTCTCTCTCTTATAGACTCGGATGATCAGTGAAGTCTAGCGACACTACCTCTGATTCCCATACACTACCTAGTACCTACGTCACTTTAAGCAACAATTTCTAATCTCCATCCTTGAAAACGGTGGGTGGCAAACTATTAGGTCCTACTGTTTCGCATCGCTTCAGGTTCGATAGAGCTTTCTCAACTTCAAGAAAAGTTGGAGGACAGACATCTACATCCCATTCAGGTCCAGACTGAATGTTGGGTCAGTTGGACTGTGCTTCAAAGTGTTCTGTCCAACGTTCTAGCTGCCCGTCCCATCCTTTCGGGTGATGGTTTCACGACCCAGCGTCTTCTTCTTCCCTGTATCCTTAATAGGCCTAAACAATCGCCGAGTGTTACCCAACATTGATGTCTTCTCCATTTATCTTACGATCAACGCGAAAACTTTCAGTCAACTTGCATTTGATTTGCTTTCACTCTTTATCGTGGTAAGAATCAGCTGGAATCAGTCTTCTCAGCTTGGACAACGTTGTGGAAGTCCGATGATGTTTGCAAACCTTCGAGTGTAGGTTGCCAACTATCTTTACCGTTGTTTCTACAACAGACTTAATATCATACCAGGATGAGCGGATGAGCATTGTTGTCAAGTTAGATAGACGGTTAACTAACTCCTCCCTACTTACATACATCATTTTCTCATCTTCCAACCAACCACACGTACCCGTACTAACGCGTAGTCGGAGTCCAAATAAGTACTCCAGAAGGAGCGACAATCCTACACCAATCTTCTTCAAAGATGTCTCACAGCAATATGATCTATTTGTATCCATTGTCTGTGCAATTTCGGCGGACACCATGTGAGACATTGTCTCAGCTTATGCTTGAAATTAGTGCTTGTCAGAAACAGATGATTGTCAGATCAAAATTGCAAGGGACGGTAGCTGTTGTTAGTTGGCTGAATTGGGATCCAGTAAATACCTCCCAGATGCCTTCCCGATTGACTCAGCTTCGCTGCTTGAGCGTCAAAGTCATCTGCCATCATGACTACATCTGAATGTTTTGCTTCCTGTAGCAACACTGACAGCTTCTCATAGAATTCATCTTTCGCATCGTCCGAACTGCAGTTGATGGGTGAGTGGGCGGAGATCACGAATAGACATCGGTTGGTCTCACGATTCTTCCTAGTTCTTACAGATCCACTCAGTCGAACAGCACACAGATGGTTATCGACTGGTATCCAGTGAAATGGGTTTTCTGCTCTGCAACTCAAAGCTATGCTTACACCAGCGAGGCCACGAGAGATAGTCACGGGGTCTCCGGATATTCTTAAGGTGAATTTAGAAGATTTATTACTATGACCAGGTGAGGTCAATTTAATAGCCACGGTCGGGTCCTGTATACGTGTCACAGATACACAGCATACATTCATGGCTAAAGACTTCAGTTTTGCAAGTGATGCATGCTTTCGGTTTCGCACAGAGTTCGGACGTCGAAAGCTGCAATATGAAATTTCTGGTGGGGCCTTAGGAGGCCAGTTATACGGTTTTTACAGCTTGGGTCGTTGGCAATGGCTGCATAATGAGAGGTTGGTTAAGGTGTGAGCGGTTCAATATTCACATGGGAAGTCGAAGATAATGTAGGAGACAATTGTGGAGAATATATGTTTTGTTTGATTGAATTTTGTGAACTACTGGAAGTGTACGGGCTGTTGACACTATCCGGCTGCCCACACGATGGAAGATTGTTTCTTCTCAATGTGTCTATAAGAGAAAACGATTTGTGTGACCGCAGAGCGCATGAGACATCTGCTTTCTGCCTGCCACACAGGGCTTTTTGTAGGTCATTGTTCAGAGGTTTGATTGTTCTAACGTCAGAAAGAGAGCACACATCCCGTCGGTACCGTGAGACCATGGTGCAGGACGGATTATGCTATTTTAGGAGCCAACCTTATCTAACTCCACTTCCCAAAAGGAAGCTAACACCAGTATGACACTGCTGGTCATCCAAAGAAACACTACTGCTGTTACAGTCCAGCCAACCATACGACTTCGCCCTGAGACCGTCATCATAATGTACTGGTTTACGCCACAACGTTACGGGCTTTTCGTCTTACCACTATCCAACGAACTCAACTGGCGTTCTAGGAACAAGCGTTCCACCAGCATAGTTTGTTGGGTATTGTGATGTGTAAGCCTTACAAGCACGTCAGGGTAGCAGCTATCGTCCGGTTTCGCTGACAGGCGATGTAGCCAGTGTAGCTCACTTGGTCACTACGGTATACCAGCCCGACAACCACGTCTAGTTATCGGCTGTCGCCGAGCTTTGTTGGTGAATGCAGAACTCATGGCTTGCTTTTTATGAACCACACTCGCAAGGCACTCAGCATGCTCCCGCTACATAAGCCTGAATTAAATAACATTTGTGACAGATTTTTGTTTAATATGGTAATCATATTATTGCGATCAATATCTTGTGTTCGAAGCACCCTCCAGTAAACAAAACTGTGTAACTATATGCCCAGCCAAATTGTCATTATTATTGGAACACAAACATGGTACAGCGATGGCACCAAGATATGCACCACACAAAATAGTATAACACTTCTGAAGACAAAGCGAGTGGAGATGGATAAAAAGAAAAACACAGTAGGAATAGACTGGTTAGAAAGACAGTCCAATAAGATACATTAAAAACAAACCATTCATTACTTTTCAAAAGATAGAAGGAAGTTACAGCATAACCATTACCGGTTTCAGTTCTGAGCTATGTTTGATAACGTCTGAAGCCACTGAGTTGCCTGATTTCTCGGACGCCACCCGGAGAGTCGTGATGCACCAGCCGATGCTAACCAGATACAACTATCCTTCATTCCACTGCACCACGTCACACACTGACCACCCCTCCGCTTCTTGCATCCAGTCCCAGGACTAGTAAACAATGAACGGTGTGGAAGCCATTGGGACGCATGTGTGACACATGTCCAAACCAAGGAAGCCGGTGTTTCCAGATGACTTCATTTATTGAATGACGACCACCACCATACCTAAACACGCTGTTGTACCCAGAATTACTTACATGGTGCAGCTACCGTATGCGAGCAGCCCTAGGGAGACAACGATGATCGGACACACACAGTCATCACGCATCTTCAGCTTGGAGAGGCCAGGTTTCACAGGCGTAGGGCAGAACTCCTCGCACCGAAGCGTTGTAAACCCGATCTTTTACGGTCAAACTTACGTCACGACGGCGCCAAAGGTGGACCAGATTGGCGTGTGCCACTCTGGTTTACGCTATGTGGTTAGAAATTTCATCACTCACAGCTACGCAGATACACGAATGTTTCGACTACTTCCAACGACTCACCACCTAGGGGTGAGCGCAAGCACGGGATTATGCCAATCTCGCAAAAGTTCTCTCCACTTCAGTGGTGCAAAGCAAATATAACGATACTTACAGACACCAATCGCCAACTGATTAAGTGCGACTTGAGTAGCCTGTGTGTTATCGGACAGTAAGA